CATCACGATCAGTATTGTTAGGATTGTTTGTTGCGTGCAGTCGAGGTGATGTGATGCAGGAAGAGTTAATCCAATTTGCTCGAAAAACTATCAGTCAGTTAGTTAAAACATGTCTGTCAGTTGTTTTGCTGCCGTATTCCCATCAGTCGACATCTAATTTGTCCTGACGGAGCGAGGCCTAAAACGTCTGTAAATTTTTACACCATCCCATGATGCAAGAGTGAGTTCAAGATAAGGAAGTCGTTAATGACACTGAGGTGGCTGAATAGAATCATAACATTTTGGACAATCTGGCATTCAAATCAGCATAATTATCACGATAGTTAGGGTTGCAGGTAGCACATAGATTTGCCTAACTCATTATTCCACGCCCTTCATGTACAGGAGATGCCTCAAAAAAGCGCTATACAGATTTTTTTAGTACTGCTTCAGTCTATTTTTGAAGGTGGACCTGTTACAAATATTCCAAGCAAGCGTGCAACAAGCGTTCATATGTACACCCCAAAGTTTATTACCCTAAGGTGGTTAATTGATTGCATCTTGCAGCTGTGGTCCAGGTGGAGGATAACACTCCCTAATAAATGGCTTGATTTGCCTCCTCCCAAATGACCTACACCCAGTAAGGTCAACCCAACCCATAAAAATGAGGAGTTGATACACTTTCGCAAGATTTAAATCCCCACGTATCTTTTTTACTTCGCACCAATAGACGTAGGAATGCGAATCGACCAATAGGATTAAAGCCGCTTTGCGATTGGCGAATTCGTTTTACTATCCCTAGGCAGTGATCCCCTCCCTAACATTGCAGTGCTTCATCAGTCCGACTGCATCTCCCATGCACCGTGCGTGTTTCTTCCTGGTGGCTGTTTGCACGGCACTCACAACCACTCACACCCTGGAGGAGGCTAGGGCGAATCCGGAGCTCTTCAAGGAGGTGACCGACTTGACGGAATTTAATCCATGGTATCATGCTGGAATTGCGTTGGTAATGCTCTACATCCTCCTCACTGGTATCACCTCCTCCATCAGCATCGTAGCCTACATTTTGGGACACAAATCACGACGACGTGGGTGACTGGTGGGTTGGACTGGCGTCTTTTCTGCATCCTTTATTTAAATAATAAAATTTTGTCCAATAATATTTAGACAACTTGATTTGACAATCTTTTGCAAATACAAGTAAAGAGTTTAGTTGCTATTATATGAAATATTATTTCCAAAATGCTAAAAAAAATCGGGTTAGGGGTAGCAAAAACTTTTAAGGGAGCCAAATAAAAGGAGAATTTGGCTCGAAATCAAAGTAATTGGCATAATTTTTATGAATTCCATTTTTGACAAGTCGTAGGTGACAGACCATACAAGCGACTGAAGTCCAGGTTGGAGTTATTTGATTTCAAGGTCACTTGAAGGAAAACATTTCATTCCCAACATGTGTGGCCATCGCTCAAATGTCCTATCCACACACCTCCCGAAATTAACAGGAGGTGCAAATCTAAAGGGGGTAAATTAGAGGTTGTAAGTGTTTCCAGTTTTTCCTTTCCATCAGATTTCGGATTTTTTTTCCGTTTTAAAGTTCTTCGCATAAAATACATCGCCTTGGAGGTAAACGAAACGAAGTAACCCAGTCTCAACCGTTTCCTTACTTTTGTCTCGAGAAATTGGTACGAGAGGCAAGGAAATGCGCAAAAGAAACTGTCGGTTGGATGGACTTCTTCCCCTCACATCCAGTGGTAGGAGAGGTGATAAATTTCCTCTCAAATAATATCACAATCGTGGAATGCCCTTTGAAGTGAATGACTGTCAGTGGATGATTTGTGGGTGGAAGCCTTTTTTTATAACTTGCCTTCCTTACCTCATCATTCTCAACAAGAAAGTTCTTCCTCTCTATCCATCCTAATTAATAGGAACACCCAATTCTTCCTCACCACCAAGCCTTTTTCAGTGATCTATCACTTCTATCAATTCCGTACTTTAGACTGATTTGCCGCCTTCCATTGTTTGCAAGGCACGAAAGGGTTTAGACCTAACACCTTCTTACCAACGGCCTTGTGAGACAGATTTTGTCCGACCAGACCTTCTTCCAGAGTGGATCAACGTTGAATGGTTGTTTATTTCTTTCTTCTCGACATTTCTGACTGGTAAAAGGGAGAAACTTGACTTCATGGTTAATTATTTACTTACGTATGTCAGTAATCGCCTTATCCTGGGTGTCCAACACAAGTCAACATATGCATTTCCTCCTTTCTTTGGGAGGAGACGAAGGCACGACTACTTACTTTACCACACAACTACGAATTTATGTTTTGTTTTTATGGGTAAGGAAAAGAAGTGATGTGTTCTCTTGCCCTCTCCTTCGCACCTCCTCCACCTTGCATGAAAGATGCTGAGGTGGTCATTGCAGTGTCTCGAGACTTCCCATGGAGTGGAAGAAGGCAGTGAGTGAGGCTGGAGGACAGGGCAAATAAACCCAAGCATGGCCCGAAGGCCTGCCCACGTGTACAAGGTCCAGACAATTCCTAAAGTGACCGCCAAACGTCATGTGGTCACATAAACAAAGTATTCGTGCCACATTTTTTCATGCTAGCAGTTTGTAGTTCATTTTTGCTCGGTGTACTGATAGAAATCAGCTACAGCTTAGCCTCAAAAAATCGTCTTGGGAGGGAAAAATCCATGTGTGCGTTCCGCATAAAAGCAAGGTGTATCCGGGACGGGATTTTGTCCCTTTTTTCAAGCAATTTTTAGTTTACTCGATGTTGCCCAAATAAGGGAACTTTGTTGGTTGATGTAGTGATTTGAATAAGAAGTGGGTGAAATACTTCGGGGGAGTGCTGCTTGCCATAGACCGCATTGAGTTTGAACTCTCTCGCTCTCTTTTATTGCATGTAATAAACAGCTTTTGGGCTGCTGAAATCAAGTGCCTGCCCACATTCCGCGTTCAAACAAAATTAGTTTTGTACTTTTCCCTTGATTGTCAATGACACGGCATGCGATGATGGGTAGAGGCAAGTGACTGCCTGTAGAGGCGATGCGTTGCGATGGGAACAGCAACACGTTATTTCCCTGTCTTTGACATTTTTCGATGACTACAACTAAATAAGCGGGTAGAAAATGAAATGAGTATGTGTAAAGACTTTTATACTTGACGATTTTATTTAAGCAGCTCTCTTTGTTTCAACGGACAATAGATTCCATAAAAATAGATGAGGCACTCTAGAGATGTGGACTGTTTTGTCAAAAATTGGAAGGTAATCCGCCACTGAAGCAAGGCGGCTTGGGTAGGCAGACCTAGAAATGTCAATCATTGCAGCCATGCTTGACAGGACATTGGAGGTGAATTCATTCAACCGTCAGCACTACTCAAGCTCAAATTCAGCACTCATAATTTTGAACAAATGCAAAAATGTATAAATCAACACAATAAAAAGCTTGGAAGTATTAAAGTCTACCCTCCTTTCAAAAAAATCTTTGTTAAATTTGTGTCATTTTGATAATGAAAGTTTTTTTTGAATCTATAACAAAATCTATTGTGACACATGTTTTAACAACCCTTTTATTGCCGTTGTAATACCTTTGCTATTATTTTTATGATGACTTTTATTGTAATGCGAAAATTCCGATTTTTTTCCCCAGAATTTTTTGACAGATTTGTTTTAATTGTTTCACCTAATGTCCTAGTTATAAAAGCTCGACGAAACTCTGAGCGTCGGTCCTTCGATGGAAATGTGGATCATGATTTTCATGTTTCCATTACGGGTCTTTCTTTTTATTACTATTGACCGAAAGAGCGTTTTTTTCCGCTGGAAATCAGACTCCTAATTTTTAGCCCATTTTCTTCAACCATCGTAATCAACACAATGGAATCCAGACTTCGCCTATTGCGGCGTACTTAATTTACGTTGGAAACGAAGAATGTTGCCATCTTTTTTTGTTGAGTGGAGCTGATTAGCTACGCACTGTTTCATTTGCTGTTAGAGTCTACTTTGGCGTTGTAATGATTGTCCGGTAGCAAGGTATTGTGGTAAATACTGCCGGAGGAGTGGTTAGACGATTTTGGAAAGTATAGATGACGTCGTGTATGTTTAAATTGCGCGTGCAATGGTCACTTGGACTGGCACAAACTTGGTCATTCGGCTGGGGTTGAAGGGGTAATGAAAGGTAAATAATGCTATGCTTCTCGTGCTGAAGTCCAGATAAATAATTTGCAAGAAAAGTGCACTTAGCTGCTTTTGGCCTTTTCATAAGCAAAGACAGACACAGAACTTGGCTTATATACACACATTCAAGCGGAAGGGGAGGCGGCAGAGGCTTTTTATGACGCAGGCTCAATTCACCCGGGGAGTTTCGAGTGGCCATAGCTGATACCGATAGCCACGGCAACGAGAAATTTCCATTAGCGGACCGAATTCTGGTATTATTTGACCTTAAAATAGATCGCAATTTTAGCCAGGTGTGATGTGGGGTCGGTGGTTATTGCGGATTGTGTTCCCGAGGTGTTACGAGGCTTTGGTGGTCGTCTTTTCCTTGCCCACGACCCGATCGCTGCATTCATCCCGCGGCATTTTTACTCATAAATGTGGAGACAGAAGACAGCGGGTTGGTAGGTGCCCTTGCATGTGATGAACAACTCAAAGAAGTCGAAATATTTGCGCTCTTCTTAACCGGCAAACCAAGTTGACATTTTCCATCCTCTCGTAGCTATGGTGCAACCAAACACCTTTTTTGTGGCTTCATTTTTGTTGGGGCTTTGGACCTGACTCATACTCACGTAATTTTTAGAGTATTCAGCGCTTT